CTTTTCTTCTGAGGCACTGCCGAGTACAAACCACCAACCTTTGCGTTAACAGACCTGGGCTTATCCCTCGCACCAACCAGGAACTCTATAACCAGCTGCCATGGAGTGTACAGAGTTGAACGATGCTCCACCTGGTTGTTGAGGCTGTGACCTTTGGGAAGCAGGTTTCCAGGTCTTTCTTCTGACGCACCAACCTTCCAGTTAACTGCCAAGTGCTTATGTTTGAACATCACCCGAGGAATCCTGGTACATATGAAGCTCCCAGTGAGCAGGATTTTGTGAACCAGATACAAGCTGGAGATGAAACTCCCAGAGTGTTGGATAGGTCTGAAGGGGCAGAGGGCTGGGTGTGGGCCTCGAGGTAGAGAGGTGTGGGAGGGGCACGGGTGACACCCAGGAAAGCAATGCTGCCCCAGGTGCCAGGATAAGAGCGGCTCTGCCATCGGAGCCCCAGGTACAGGGATGCATAGGTTGCAGGGAGGTGGCCGTGTGGTTGTGGACGGGAGCTTGTTGAGCTGTCTGAAGAGAGGAATCCAGATCTCCAGGAGAAACCTTGGTTCCATGTTCCGTAACTGACGTGTGTCTTCCGCAGGGCACATAGCAAGCCAAGGGTCTTGTCCTTCTTCAAATTGTATAGTTCATTTCCATTGTAAAATCCCAACAGCACATTGGAATTGTATCCAACACCAGCATCCAGGTGCTCTGTGGTAGCCTTCTAATGGAATCATTGAAGAACAGCCAGCGGTGGCTGTAAGTGAGGCTGAAAGCTGTCATCACTCGAACCAGACATCTCAAGGAAGAGGTGCAGGAGGTGGGCTTTTTCAAGGAAACAAACTCTGAGTCATTTCTAACATGCATGTGACCTAAAGTGTGTCTCACAGAGGGTCATAAGCTGTGACCAGACCACCTGGTCCAGAGGGGCTAATGCCATGGTCCCCCATTTGTGCCTACTGCATGTCACCTCCTTTTTCCAAACAATGATCTGAGCATCAACTTTATTTATTCCCTATTATAGACAAGAAGGGGTCCTGGTGGGCGCTGCATGATAATGCGTTGGACCACAAAGTCATGTTGAGCCACAAGGTCGGCAGTTCAAACCCACCCACCAGCCATTCCTTGGAAACCCTACACAGGTTTGCTATGAATCAGAACCAACTCAATGGCACTTGACAACAACAACAACCAGAGGCAGGGAAACAAAGGCCTGGTGGCACCATGAGTTAAGCACCAGGCTTGTTAATTGGAAGGTTGGTGGTTCGAATCCACCAGCTGCTCTTCAGGAGACATATGAGGCTGTCTGTTTCCATGAAGATTCACAGCCTTGGAAGCCAAGTGGGGCAGCAGTTATACCTGGTCCTTCAGGGTTGAAATCAACTCGACAGCCATGGGTTTGGTGTTTAGGAGACAAGACGCCTGGTGATCGTGGCGCTCCATTCATGTTCTCGCAGTGTTGCGTTGCTCTGATCACACGTCAGAGTTTCACTGACTTGACTTTGCAGCCTTAGGGATCAAAGGGGAGCCCAGTCTTTTGGGATGGAGACTGCTAAGGTGGTTACTGTTAGCTGCTGTCCAGTCAATTCCGACTACAGTGACCTCATGTGTGTCAGAACGGCACTCCACAGGGCTTTCAAGCGCAGACTTTTCAGAAGCAGATGGTCAGGCTGCTCTTCTGTGGTGCCTCTGGGTGGGATTGAACCAACAGCCTAAAGGCTGCACCATCGAGGAGGCCACCCTAATCATGTTGGTGGGTTAAATCTGGTAGACAGTGGTGCTGAACTTCCGGCCTTCGTCTGTGAGTCAGGTAAATCCATGGGGTCCTCAAAGGAGTCTGTGGGATCAGGACTGTGATGAGCTGCTCTTAGATGACCCACCTTGATCCAGGTCACCTTCCAGGATCAAGGCAGCCTAATCCACTTGTGGGTCCTGGGGGTTGGCGTGATGTGCTCTTAGAGACTCGGAATGGTCATTTCCAATGGTCTGTCTGTTGGTGTATTCATGGCTGACGAAACCAACTAATGTTTCCAAATGAGGTGGCAGTGTGCCAAGATCCAAGTGAGTTAGTGGGAAAGGTTCTGGGGACACAGTAAGGGTCAGGCCTTTCTCTCCTGCTGAACTGGACTCTTCCTTCAATCCCTGGAGAGGTAGCATGTCCCAGTGTGCTGGTGACACATGCAGGTTGGCTTTCTCTCTGAGCGTATGTTGTCAGATTCATAGAACTGTGCTCCTTGGAAACCCTATACTGGGTCGCTATGGGTCAGAATCAATTCAACGGCACTTCCAACAACAACAACTTAAGAGAAAAAGGGTTTGCGGTTACGTTGAAGGGCCAAAGTCCTCCGCTTAAAATGAAGGAAAAGAGACAGGGGTTTCTATTATAACAAGACAAATGCAGTCCTAGGGAAACAAGTTCACAGTCTGAACACTCTTAAGCTACCAAAGCAAGTTCTGGGCTCCAGGCAGATCATTCAAAGCCCAAGAAATCTTCTCACTAAAAAAATAAAAAAAGGTAATCTTAAAAATATATAGTTTAAAAGATGAGCTAAGTTGGAGTCTGGTGTGGAGTTGTAGGATAAGCACTCGACCTCAAGGTTGGTTTGAACCATAAGGTCAGCAGTTCAAGCTGCTCCTCAGAAGCCTTATACAGGGTCACTATAAATCCGAACTGACTTGATGGCATTTAACAACAAGTTCTTTTAAAATAAAAGAGTGACAGCTATAATGATAGGATTTAAAAACTCAAAGAGAAACAAAAAAACCACAACCTTTGTGTCAATTCCAACTCATAGTGACCCTGTATAGGGTTTCTTTACAGGAACAGCAAGCTTCATCTTTCTCCTGGTGGGTTTGAACTGCCGACATTGCAGTTAACAGTCCAATACTTACCTTACACTGCCAAAAACAGTGGCAGTGCCAGGTGAGTAAACCAACATGAGGCCATTATCAAAACAGAGACCCATGTGTATGTACTAGCGAGAACCCCAGTTGTACCCAGAGCATGCCCTGTGCCTCTCTCAGCTAACTTGAGAGGCAGTTTTGGGGAGTTGTTGGGAGCAACAACTGTAGGTTTAAAGCCGCTTGGTGTCTCCTGGGACATCCCCACCACATCCATTGTGAGCCCCGCCTGGCATGTCTGTTTCTAGAGAATAAAGTAATACCAATCAGGGTACTTTTCTCACGATAAGGAAGAAAGGAAATAATGCCCGAAAGGACTTGGCACAGTGCCGGTAGTCATTAGACCATCATTCACCATCTGGTAGAGATCAGAAGCATCTTATGGGCAGGGAATAAACCAGAAGATTCCCATCTGTGTGCCTTTGAGTGCCCAACACATAACAGGCACTTTACAATGGTCTGTGGAAGGAATGGATTCTAATGGTGTGGATATTATCATTGCATCTGAGGACCAGAGACTCCAAGTCTCTGAGAAGGTGGGCAGCTTGCCTACAGCCACTCAGATACTGCAGGGCAGACCCAGCACCCATGCCTGCAAGCTCGGGCGTTCCTGGTGAATCACCACCAGGTCCATGCCCAAGGCATCTGAGCCAGGAGAGGAGTGGAGGAAACTCCCTCACTGCTCTGTGGCAGAAGACACAGTTTTCTCATTTTGATACTGGAGAGCTTCTCTTGCATGAAATCCAATTAGCTGACACACCAAAAAAATCCTCACCTGGGAGACAAAACAGGGCTATGTCTAGACCGCCCTTGGAACTAGGGGGTATGTTTGGGGGGTCGACTTCCACCGTACACCTGGGGCTATGGAACTACATGTCAAGGGGTTTTGATTCTTGAAGGCGCGACAAGAAAAGGGGGCCTGGCTTTGTCATCGTTCATCTTTGGGGCGGGGGCTGTGTACAAACCCATGCACACATGCTTCGGGCCTGTCTCCCTCTGTGGTTAGCACCAGGTGACCCTGGAAACATCTACTCCACATGATGAAAGCAGGTGGAGGATTTTCTTGTTGTTAGCTGCCATCGCATCAGCCCCCCATGCAGGAGACCTCGTGCGCAATGGGATCAGACTGTTGTCATCCACAGGGTGCTCATTGGCTGATGTTTCAGAAGCAGATAGCCAGCTCTTTCTACCTAGTCTGCTTTATTCTGGAAGCTCCACTGAACCTGTCCAGAATCATAGAGTACATAAGCCTCCATTGACAGACAGAGAGGGACTGTACTGGCCAATAACTGAACCCAGGTCTCCCGCATTCTACCACTAAGCCACCACTGCTCTCTCAAAGGGTCTTATGTTGTTTTGCACCATCCAATCAATTCCTTAGACACCCCTCAAACCTGGAACTGGATCCACTCCAGAGATCAACTTTCAGTCAAACTGTGGGGAGTGTGCCCCCCAGAACCATCAACCATACGAGCTCAAAAGGGAAACGTTTGCCTAAAAACAAACATCGGACGGCGGCAAGAAAGATGTTCTAATATAAACAGGATCCAGGGAGGAAGCGGAACAAAACCTGTTACAGGGAAGAGACTGCAGCTAAAGTCACAAATCAAAACGTGGATGCATTGTTGAATGGGCAATTAATTCGTTCTGCAAACTTTCACTCAAACCACAATAAAATGCCCAAAAAAAAAAAAAGACTAGTAAGTAAATAATAGTATAATATGCAAAATTAAAATATCCAGTAAAGTCTTGACTCTTAAAAAAAATAATAAGACGACAGCCTTGGACACCCCATGGTTGCTGTAAGCCAGAATGAACTCGTTGGCAATGGGGTGTTGGAGTGTTGGTTTCATTTTGCTTTGTTGTTTGGGTCTATCACCTTGGCAATGAGCAATGCAATCAAAACAAAACCAAATTAGTTGCCATTGAATGGATTCCAACTCATGACACATCATGTGTGTGAATGTAGAACTATTATGTTCTGTCGGGTTTCATTGGCCAATGATTTTTTAATAGATCTCCAAGACTTTCTTCCACAGTGAATCCAGTGGACTTGAACCACTGCACTTAGGTTGAGTTTAGTGTTATTCTTCCTGCGGGGCAGGTACCTGGATGTTGAGTCTCCCTCGATGGGCCCCCAGACCGTAGCGCTTGGCTGTGGATGCATGGAGCTGGAAGTCTGTGATCTTTAATGTTTCCAGTCCAATAGGTGGGCAACCTGGAAAACATAATGCGTGTGAAAAACAAGGACAGATGTTGAAATGCATTCCTGATTTTCTGAATCTGGTCATGTGCTTTTCCTGTTTTCCCCTGGGTTCCTTCTCACCAGAACAGCCTTGCCACTTGGGAACACTGGACGGCCTAGGTCTTCAGACATGGGTCCTTCAATGGCCAACATTATACCAATGTTCTTCCAAGGGAGCATTTGCTTTCTGATTTTTAGTTCATCTTTGTTTTGGATTTTGCTCTAATATTCCTTCTCTATGGCATACTGATTTGTGCTGGACTGCTAAGAAGGCAGTTCAAATCCATCAGCTGCTCCTTGGAAACCCTACACAGAGTCACTATGAATCAGAGTCAACTCAAGGTCACCTAACAATAAACAAGATGACACAATGGGTTAAGCATTAAATTGCTAACCAAAAAGTCAACAGTTCGAGCCCACCAACTATTCCATGGGAGAAATATAAGACAGCCTGCTCCCATAAAGACCTCGTCTCAGAAATCCTATGAAACAGTTTTACTCTGTTCTATTGGAGTCCTATGGAGCTCTGGTAGCGTAGTGGTTACAAATCAGGCTGTGAACCACAAGGTCACCAGTTCAAAACTAGCTGTTCTGTGGGAGAAAGATGAGGCTTTCTGCTCCTGTAAAGATTTACAGCCTCGGAAACCCTGTACAGGGTCGGAACTGATTCCATGGCACACAACAACAACATTGGAGTCCTGGTGTGGTGCTGTAGGATAAGCACTAGACCACAAGATTGGTTTGAATGGCAAGCTAGGCAGTTCAAACCCACCAGCTGCTCTCAGAAACCCTATACAGGGTCGCCACGAGTCAGAACCAGCTCAACGGCACTTACAAGCACAGTTGCTGAGTTGGGATTGATTTGAAGGCAGTAGGTTTACTGTTGCCCATGCCGCTATCAGAGCCTGTTATCAATGACGCATCCAGCTAGTTACGGGAAGGAGTATGATCAGATAGACAGTTCAGGCTGAGTGGGTGGTTGAGCTCTGCAAATTCATCAGACCTGATTGTCTCTGAACCGGGAACTCTGTCGTTTGTATTGCATATCCTAACGAACAGACAAGCATCTACTGCCTTCTGTTCTGGACAGAACTGGCAGTTGGTAAGTGCTGTCAAGACAGTTCCAACTCATACAGATGTGTATAGGGTTTCTGGGGAGCTGCTGGTGGGTTTGAACCACCAACCTTGTGATTAACAGTCCAGTGCTTATCCTACCATGCCACACCAGGACCCTGGTAACAGGTTGGTGGGATTTGCCCTGGGAATGAAAATACTGGGACTTGGACAGACCTTTGACGATCATCCCATAAAACCTTGTATGGAATTAAGACCCGGGGGAGAATCCAGCCTCCAGACTCCTGGTCTGCTGTTCCCACCTCCCTCTCCCCATCCCCATCACACACACACACAAGGCTGTAAAGTCTCACAGGGATCATTCTACCCTTAAACATTTGACCTTATGGGAAGAAAACCAGAAATGTTGGAATGCCCAGTGTCTTCCAGTCAAATCCGACTCAAAGCAACCCTAGTGGACAGAGTAGACCTACTGGATATCTTTACAGACACTAACCACCTCCTCTCTCACACAGTCCCAAACATAAAAAGTGTGGAGAAATCAAAGATTCCTGAAATGATCCATTTTCCCTCAAACAAAGCCTCCATGACCCCGAAGGTGGAAGCATTAGATGGTGCCTGGTCACTGCTGCTGACACTCTGAAAGGGATCCCAATAGGAGGTGCGGGATAGAGTGGGCAAAACTGGGAAACAAAACTCAAAATAAGACTCACTGGTCTGCAGAGACTGGTGGAAGTCCCGAGACTATGGCCCTTAGGCAGACTTCAGGCCTAGAACTGAACTCACCCCCCACCCCCATCCCCAGCTCAACCTCCAGCCAAACAATAGATCAATAAGGTAAATAAGAACACCAAGGGGATGGGAGGTCCTTGGAACAATCAATCACATGAGATCACAAGGGCAGAGTTTGCCCAGAGATAAAGCTCAGAAGGCAGGAAGGGGTGCGGTGGGGGGGGAATGACACATCGAAATGATAAACACAGGGATGAAGTGGGAAGAGTGTTGTCACCTTGTGGGGACTGGAATTAATACCATGAAACTCAATGTGTATGAATTCTTAGATGGAAAGTCAAATGGCTCTGTCAACCTTAACCCAAATCACCATAAAAAGGTTAAAGAAAAATCAATTAATAAATGCAATTGAATAAGTAAATGTCTGCAATCAGGAAGTTTGAAGACCAGAACCCCAAAGTGGTGACTTCATGATGAACTGTAATATAGTCATAGTCCAGTTGAGTTTAGTGCGCCAACTAATGAGGTAATCTGTAGGTTTAAAGGATTTGAGGTAAATGGGAAACTCGTCCACACTCTTCATCCCTCCTCTGTTTTCTGCTTCATTCCTACAAGGTCCCTGCAGTCACTCAGAAGTCATTGTAATAATGGCCACAGCTCTGTACTTGAGCCCATCTGTTCTGCCAGCCGGCCATGGCAGCCTCAAGTCCAACATGCTCGCTGCAGCCCTCCCCTGGCAAAAACCATCTTTGTGGGTTTAAAAAGCCAAATACTCGAATCCTGAGAACCGTGTGGGTGAAGAGAACATGAGACAAGTGTGAACAGAACACTTCAGGAAAATGTTAATTAGACTGATGATGGGTCAGAATCTGGAGGACAGAGAGAGATTGTCATACATCAACGATGACTCCACACTTCTCTTGAAGACAGCGTGTGGCTTCAGGGACACCTTGGGCTGAGCTGAGCACCGCTCCCAGCAAGGGTAAGATATAGGAACCCCTGCCTCCTTCTACCGCACATTTAATTAGCTCTGTCCCTTGTCAAAATTCTCTGCACTGCAGCTACTGCCTACAATGGATGTCAGTCCTATGGCGTACAATGATTCATCATCCTTATCATCCTCACCAGAAATCACCTGCATACACATCAGCTCTAATCCACCATGTGCGTCCACTGGATGTCCTATCCCAGATGTCCTGATGGCCCAGACGTACGTCACCAGACACAATAAGAACGCAATGATGCAAGTTAGATTTCTGAATCTGGAAGGTACGTTCTAGTCCCAGCCCACTGCCATAGAGCTGACTCTACGCACAGAAACCCTATAGGGCCGAGGACTGTCCCACAAGATTTCCAAGGCTGCGAATCTATAGGGAATCAGATGGTACATCTTTCCCCGAGAGTGGTTGGTGGGTTGGAGGTGAGCACTTTAACCTCTGTGCCACCTCACTCTTTCAATTCCAGAGTTATTAAGTGCCATCAAGCCAACTTGTTGTTGTTGTAGTAGCAACCCAGTGTAGAGTTTCTGAAGAGCAACTGGTGAGTTTGAACCACTGACCCTAAAGTTCAAACCAGCCCTGTGGTCCAGTGCTTATGCTATAGCAGCACGTCAGGACTCCTAGCAACTCTGGAGAGCATCACTTCCAAGGCTGTAAATCTTTACGAGAGCAGAAAGTCTCATCTTTCTCCCGCAGAGTGGCTGGTGCGCTCAAACCCCTGATCTTGTGGTTTGTAGTCCAGTGTTTATTGTATGGAGTCATTGCACTCCCTTCAGTTCCAGTGTTGTTGTTGTTAAGTGCCGTGGAGTCGGTTCCAACTCATAGAAGCCCTGTATAGGGTTTCCGAGGAGGAGAACCACTATCCTTTTGGTTCAAACCAACACTGCAGCCCAGTGCATTTACCCGCAGCACCACACCAAGACTCAGTTCCAGTACTCTCCCCAAATTCCCAAATGCATTCAAAGGTAGTGATTTCGGGAGCAATAGGGCTAATGTTAGAATAACTAACTACCATGAGCCAGGCAGGGATATGTTGTGATTTAATTTTCATAATGGCCACAAGAGATGGGCATTTTCTTGCCCATTCTGCACACAAGCAAACTGAGACCTAGTAGAATGAAATAAATTGAAACAGCTGCTCAGTATCCTTGTTGTTAAGTTGTGTTGAGTTGCTTCTGATTCATAGCGACCCAAATAGGGTTTCCGACGGTAAATCTTTGCGGGAGCAGGGAGGCTGTAGTTTTCAGTACACTGCTTATCATATAAAGCCACTGTGCTCCCCAAGTATCCAAGTTAGAATTGGAAAATCAAGTGCATCATAAAATCCCAGACTGATCTGAGCACTCCGGAGTGTTTACAGACATATGGTGTCCACGTGAATTCAGAGGGCCACGGGGAAGGCGGGCAGAGGACGGGGGTGAGGCGCCAGGTTTGCCTTAGGTTTGGTGTACTTGGGTGGACACCAGGAAAACGAGCTGGAGCTGAGGCAGGCGTCACCAGTTGGCACAGGGAGTTTGGAGTTGAGGTTGCCTGGCCCACTTTGAGGCCCTGCTGGGAAACAAAGTGAAGACTTCGTCAGGATATCCAGAGCTCTGCCAAGGACAAGGTCACAGCCTCTCTGAATTTTTGCTTTCATTGTCGCCTGCTGATTGAATAGCTCTGACTTAGGAAATTCTTTCCTTCGCCTTTCTGAACTTGGCATTGCCTTTGATAGACGAGGGTGGAGGCAGCTTCCGGGTGTGCTGGAGAATGTGTCTGCAGCGGCTCTTTGCCAGTTCAGACACTACTGACTCCCAGAGGACCCCGGCCACTCCCAGGGTCTTCTCAGGAATAGGCGCTGGTCTCAGCCTGATCTCATGACCACTGGAAAGCTCTCTATGACCCATCCCCTTTGGAACAAGTGCAGCCCCCACCCTGACTCTCCTGGGAAGCCTGTCTAAATTTATGATGGCCCAGGCCCCTCCCCAAGACTTTGGACCAAGCACTGATCTAAAGCTTCCAGGACATTCTTCTGAACCAGTAGTGTGGACAACCACAGCCCTCAGGAGCCCCACAGACCTGGCTGGTGTCTCTTAGCTCTCAGTCTAGCACAGCTCTGAGATTTTCTTCCCCAGGTCATGCAGGAATTGATGGAGAAAGCCCTCAGAGAGCTGGGTATCCATCTGAGCT